GCTAGAAGGTATAGCTGTAATGGTTGGGAACACTGCCATCTTTCCAAACTGTCTTGTTGAACATCACATCATATCACAGTATAATTTGAAATGAAGTGCACGTTATGTGTGTGTGATTTAAAATGCTTTATTTAGAAAAATAGCGACAGCACATATGTAAACCTATGGCATTTCACAGAAAGCAGACAAACAGTTTGGAAAATCATTTAAAACATAAAACATGATACATTTAACAGTTACATGAGTAAATGAATAATTACTGAGGACTGTGGCAGAAGGCTGTATATGACATTTTCAACTTTGTTAATATGAGAAAATGGACAAGAGAAGAGAAGTCCAAGGACTACAGTTCCTGTCACATGTAAATAAAAATCTTCCACTGCCATACTAAAATTGTAACACTAAGTAGCCAAGCAAGCTATTTTAAGTCCTATTCCCTATTCTACTTTATCTGTAGCAGAGTCAGTCTTCTCTTGGTCGTATCCTACAGTTGAAGCACATGTGTTGAACAGAGCGACAAGTGCCATGGGGTTCAGAGTATGTGACAGGAAAGAGTCACTGATATTAATATCACCCAGCTGACATGCCAGGTTCTAGCTGAAATGATCGTCACTTCACTTTGCACGTAATTCTCAGGTCCCAGGTGCTATGTGACGCTGCTGACACCCCTGAAATAACAAGACAGCATCGACAGCAGTATTATCTGAAATAGGGGAAATGTGTTTGTCCATTTTTCAAACATTATACGCAGAAACTACAGTTGCATTTGATTGTTCCAGACCATTAATAACAACCACTGATTACTTTGAATTGGTGAACCACAGTGTCATCAGCATTGTCAAGCATGACATGTCAGAACAATATATTGTCCCGCTCCTACACTACCTCATGTGTTCATGCTTGTTATAGGGGTGAAAGAGGTTGATACTGATGTTGATAAATAACAGCATCTACGTCCATAACCACTCGTTCCTCTTCCTGGTCTCCTTTCAACCAGTCGCTTAATTGTCCATGCTTCACAATGCTGAGCTGTCTGCTGCCAGTCCCCAGGGAACACATCAGATCAGGGTACCAGTCTCCATTCATCCCTGCAAACACATGCATGCATTACTTTAGTCAAGGCACTAGACTGGACAAAAAATATCTTTCTGAAACGCAAATATTTGCATGTGTCATCAGTAAAAGTGATGAAAAGTGAAATGCCACAGGGTAAACTAAGAATAGTGAATGAACTAGATTCATCAATGCAACTTAGCTAAAAATACCTGACAAGCTAAACAATTTCTGACTCATTTAACAGCTCAGATTACATTTGAAGTATGATAACGTTTTCCTCCTTTGATAATGATAAGATTAAAGAAATGCAACATCATCATTTGGCCCTTGATATGATGATAGTGGTCTGCTTATTATTTCAACTAGCTTCCCTCCTATGCTGAGCACCTTGGATACAAATAGCTAAATTGGACTACCCATCTACCCATATCTGCCACTAGTTGGACTGTGTTATCGCCAAAACAATTTGCCGGTTCGTAAGTACAACAGACACACCTCAAAGAATGTAATACAGTATAAGGAAAATTGGGTTCAATGGTCACATTAAGATAAAGCTCGTATTCCTGAATGAACAGTGTAATAGCCAAGGTTGCATTTTTGTAACTTGTCTGAAATACAAATAGTATAGACTATAGTATAGTCCAGTTAATCTTATATATGTTGTGTTTGTTATGTTGTGTTTATTCAATCCTTTGACATGCACACGGTTTTACCTGCACATTAAGCATCTCCCACTTTCAACAACTTTCATTACCAACATAAACCAATTTCTTTAGGAATGTAAAAGTTAAGATTTCTGACAAAAAACATTCTTCAGGTGATATAAAAACTTAAACATACCATAAATTTGTCTTACCTTTAGAGGTTCAAACAGTTTTCTTGATTGACAGTCTTTTCAACAACACAGATCCTCCGTCTCTGGTGGTCTGCTCCTCCTCTGCTGTGACAAATTTCTATTTCCAAAACTTATACTGGTTTATATATACCAGGTAAAATCTACCACCGACACCATTTTTCATATCTACTGAGAACTCATTCTATCAGATTTCATGCGGTATGATCAGGGAAGAATATTGAGCTATTGGTTCAAACTTTCAAGCACATTGCTGTTCTCGCCTCACTCCAATCATTGATGTCACTGCAGGTATTTTTCATAAAAGATGGTCAAAGGTAAGACACCTGCTGTGGCATCACTGACTCAGGTGTTAAGTGCAACATGATAAAATGTTTAAGGACGTAGAACATAGTTCCTCCATGTGACGTTTGGACCTACTGATCTTTGGCCAACATTAGCACACATGTAGGGTGTTTACAATGTGATGGGCTGGAGCTAGAACCCAGAAGTGAACAATAAAGCATTTCCTTAATCACTGTACAATAATAAAAATGATGTATTATTAAGTAATATTATGCTCTGACTTTTAAAACTAGGAAGTATCTGCAGTTTTTGTTATAATGTGGCAGAATCAGCTAATACTTGTGCATACATCTCAAGTACATAAATGTTAAACAATAAACATTCATCTGAAGAACGTTTTTATTGTTCTTTACTATATGACTAAGGAGACACAAAAAATAAATTGTCATTCATGACAACGAAAGTGTGTCTACGGCAGCCTAAATACAGATATTTAGGATATTTAGATTTTGCTCTCAGCATATTTGGTTTCTTTTCTTATTTGAATAATATGCCAAAAACTAAACCAGGAGCCAGCACTGACATTCATAAACAGATTCAGAAGCAATTAACACCTGACTAACACCCAACCTTTGTGCTAAGTGAACATTTGTCAGTCAAAAACTAATTGAATGAGCATTTGCACTCTGTCTTAGGGGATGTAACTCCTGGACCATAGCAGAGGTCTGCTGAAGGTGCCTTACCCCAGGCTAAATGAATAAATAAAAGTGTGGTGTGCAAGTCTGTGATTAAAATCACTGCACGGCTAAAAAAAAAAAAAAAAAGAAAAAATGCAGCTGGTTTTCAAGTGTCCTACAGAACTAAACATTTGACAACAGCCTCATTTGTTTCTGTTTTGCATGACATATGCATTCAGACTTGTTTACTTTTGTTGCATTTTTCCATTCTCTGTCTCACCCTTAAGTCATAAAAACATGTCACAACTCGTCAGTTGCTCCCTGTACATTATGAATGTAATGAACAACCGATCAAATCCCATTTGCTGTGGTTGTTGCCTCTATCGGCCATGTGCACTAGCCCAGTCTGACACCCTCCACTACAGGAGCAGCAGAGAGAAGTCAGCACAGATCAGCTGCAACATGATTGGCTAATGCTCTGTCAGCAGACATCAGAAGATGAACGTTATTGGCCCGTTGTCAGTACCAGGGTATGGACAGCTCCTACACACACTCTCTCTCTCTCTCTCTCTCTACTTCTCTCTCTCGCACACACACAGACACAGATTTCATTCCAATGAATAAGAAGGAAACAGTTTTAAATCTGGCTCCAAGAGCACCACTCAATCCAAATTTGTGTTAAAAATAATATGCTGAATGTGAGTCTTTTCTACGGGCAGTTCAAACAGATGATAGAGGAAGCCAGACGAATGCCTCCTGCTCACCGTGTGCTGCTTTTTACAAACCCACTGCCACTGAATGCTTAATGAAGCCTATGCTAACTTTACGCATGACTCATTTTGTTTAGCTTAGAACCATTTCTCATACAACCTGGTGTGGACCTGGACGACAATTACTTTCCAGTGAGTCCATGCCAAGGATGCTTGGATGGTCCTGCACATGACCTACATTTGAAATGCATCAACGCACACAACCACAAAGCAATATTTACTTAACTCCTGTAGCAGCAGTGAAATATTAGTCCTGGGTAATATTGCAGCTTGTGCAAGGCCTGGCAGACACTGCCCTGGGTAAACAATGACAGTTCTAGAATTAGTTTTCATTTTAAATCACAGTCCTCAGTGATGCCAATGTTTCATGAAATACACTACACACTCTGTTGGAGCTTGTTAAGTAATTAATAAGTTATGGGTTAATCAGTATTCTCTGTTCCTCCTTTTGCCAAAACCTAATTTTTAGAGTTGAAACTATAATCTATTAATCAAAGACAAAAAATTAATTGCCAGTTATTTTAATTCATGAAATGATCAAGCAAAAACACCAAATTCTCAATTTCAAATTCTCTTATGTATAGATTTTGTACTTTTCTCTGGACATCTTTGTTTTGGACTGCTGCTTGATCAAAACAAGCTTCTAAGAGCTCGTGATGGCCACTTTACCCTTTTGTCTGCAGCTTTAATCATTTTAATACAGAGCAAAACATATTTTTCAGAATAGGCTTGAGTGACTGCTTTAGATTTAAATTAGATATCTGTGCAGTAGTCTACTTTAACTGAAATAAACAGAAGACCATCTCTTTGGAAGGAGAAAAGCATATGGTCGATGGGAATGTTAACCAGGCTACCGCCAGGCTTGGTTCAATAACCCACTGGGCCAGTGACTGTCTAAATGGATGAGGCAGCTGGAACCATGGATGACCTTTACAGCAGTATCGCGGTAACTGATGCCGGGAGAATAAATCACAGGAAATCAAGGACAAATCATACCCGTGAAAAGATGCATCATGGAAAAGCGGAGTGCCTTGTAGTGTCTGCTGAGTTCAAACAGGCTCAAGTGTAGCACAACATCGCACTGGCACGCGGCTCCAGGCCTGCGTGAATTTGTTCATTTTATGAAGCACAAGCAGCAATGTGCGGATGATGACAGAGAGCCTGATATAATAGGATACGGCGAGGTTTAATCCCGGTGAGCGAGGCTGGTGCATGTGCGCCGACACAGCCTCCTGCTCACATTAAGCACGTACACACCGCGCTCAATTTGCAGTAGAAAGCGTAAACAGCGATGTGTTTTTTTGGGGGGGGTTTAAACCGAGGGGCTAACCATTACGTTACATCGCAGTGAAGCCTTACCAGTTCTCCTGCATCCATCGGATGGCTTCGTCCTCGTTAAACTGTCTCTCGAACTCATACTCTTGTAGAGCTAGCACCGACATGCTCACTGTGCTGTGTTGCTGTTCACGCTGCTGAAACAAGACGATACCCGGCCGAAGTGTTTCTGTTTAGTCTGTTCCTTCGCAGCCCTCGACTAGCATCGCTCGTGCTGCTGTCAAGACCTCGCGGTTGTGCGCGAGCAGCTCGGCAGTGGCGGCACCTTCCTCCTCTACCGGCTGACCGAGCCTACGCCCTCTTCCTCAGGAAGATGCACGCCAGGTCCTAACGCCGCCCAAGTTGCTCCCCTCTGTCGTACGGCTGCATGGTATTGCAATTCAATTTCAGTACAATTCAGATTATTTCACTTCAGGTCAATTTTATTTTATTTACATTCAGATCAAGTCAAGTTTATTCGTATGGAGCAACATTGTCTCAATGGACTTCATAGTACTGTGCAAAGATCTGAGGCACTTTAGATGTTTGTATTATCATCAATCAGGCATTAGGGAGGCCAGTGTCCAGTCCTAAATTTATTCAGCAGCGCGATAACCACCCCAAGCATATATCTTGTGTCATAACTAACTTCAGTGACAAGAACAAGGAGTCCTTCAACAGATGGTATTTCCTCCACAGAGCCCTGAGGTCAACATAATCAAGTCTAGCAACTTAGAAGCAACAGCCTGAATTCACAGAATAGCTATGGCAAGTTCTTCAAGATGCTTGGAGCAACCTAACTGCAAAACACCTTCAAAATCTGTGTGCAAGTGTACATGGAGAAAAGGCAAAGCGAAGTCACACCATTTTGCTTTCACTTACAGTAGTTTTATTTTTCTGTTGGATACTTTGTATGAAGTTAACTGATAAATAAAAATGCTCATGGCATTATTAAAAACATTGATTTACTTATAAATGCAACCCAATCCAAGTTAAATAGAAGACAAGGAAAATTGCTGAAAAATACATAAAAAAAGAATGGAAATTCAAAGAGAGATCCCCTTACTTGCACCCATGATGTTGAAAAAATTAAATATTAATTAAAAGCTTTAAAAGAATCACTTAAGTTAATTTGTGTGTAGATCATTTAACGAGAGGTCTTAAGCATAGTGCTGAGGTATATGTCTAAAATTTAAATACATATTAGAGATGTTTCCACCAGCTTTTTTATCCCTCATCACTTATTTAAAAAGTGCCTGAATACCTCTTTTTATCTGTTTAATCCTTGGTTTCATAATCTCAGTGTGAATAAACAGTTAATTTCACACTTTCCTAATAATAGAGATGTACATTATATCATACCCAATCAGTTTAGCATTACTAGCCTGATTATGTGCCACTTTGTTGCATAATCACTTTCCAATGTTATGAAAGACTCATATAATGGTGAAAGCTATTTCTTCATCTGGCAAAAAGGTTTTGGTACAGCCTGTCTGAACATTCACCTAGTGACTTCAAGTCTGCAGCCAAATGCAGATACACACACAGCACAATTATGCTTCTTCAGATATGGTTGCAGCACTGACAAGCAGACTATGCTCCCCAGGAGACTACCTTTCGATGGTCGGGTGATGATGTCTTCTGATTATATTGCAGCATGACTTGGACTTTAAGCATATTTGCCAATGATCTCGCACAAAAACACCAGGGTCAAAAAATCACCTCATTCAAACATGAAAAAACACTCCCCTCCCCTGTTCAGCCACCTCCTCTGCCTGGACTACATGTACTTGATTTTTTCTTTAATTTGTCAAATATCCGGTATATTATACATCACTGATATGTTTTAGCAATCTACATTTATTAGGCTGCCTCATCATTTAGAAAGACCCAACACTGTTCCTCAGTCATTTTGGTTGGGTTAAGCTGTGCAACAACTACCTTTCATGTTCCAACCATATATCAAACTCAGCCCCTCGCCCTCTCTTTCTCCCCACCTTTATAAAGAAGAATGAATGGTTACCTGCACACAGCAATTAAGTATGTATGTGTGTGTGTGTGTGTGTGTGTAGATATATGTTCACCCAAAGTAACAGAATAAGCAACCTTAATCAAATGAATAAGTTGATGAATACATGAATTGTAAGACTATAATAATTCCAGTGTCATGATGGACAATTTATTGGGTTTTGGCTGAAACAGTGATGCTTAACACATCAGCTAGGCGGTGTCAGCTACTGTTAGCATAGCACACACTAGCTCTAGTTAGCTAGCTTGGTTAGCAAGGTACATCCAGAATTCACTTAATTGTAATATTAACAGGAATGCTAATATAGGCTAGCGAAAATCAGGCTGAAAATCAAATGTAATTTAAAAAATTGAACATTAAGTACAACCGAACGCTGAACATGACATTTTCAGGCCAAGAAAATGTTACCACTAACTTTCATGAACCAAAACCACAAAGACAATTCAAAACTCTAGCGACATCACTCTACCCTTTATCCGGAATGACAGGCAGGTCGCTTTCCGGTGCGGTATGGTCATGTGACAGACTTCACCTGACTGTTTAGGCGGGAGATTTAACGCACCAATGCCCTGCCGGTTGTTTTGGTCTGCAAAGCTGTACTCTGGCTAACTCTGTGATAACACTCCTGCGAACATTTGCCACTGCTGTTGCCAAGCCAACCTGTTAACAGTCCTAATGTCGCCTCGGAATTACTTTGTTATCAACTGTTGTTCCTTTGGTGACATCCATGCTATCTGCTGTGAACCACAAGCATGAAGCTAAAGTCTTACTTCCTTCTCTGTTGTGGGCAACGTGGAGCCACTGCGACCCTTCCCCGAGACACTGCACCAAGTAAGTTTTTGCTGCTTGTGCTTGCATTCATATTGTGAGGTGATGACTTAGCTCTGGGCAGTTGTTGTCGGTGTGCTCGGTTATATGAGCAAGCTACAGACACCAGACATCAATTGACCACAAGCAGCTATGTGTTTCTGCTCTGATGCTGTTGCGATCTGATACCTGCTGTTCTGCCGTTCCTATCTGCACTTTCCTTTATGAATCACTCTGTTGTTGTGGCTAAGCTCGTTTTTGTTTTTGGTTGTGTGGTGGATGCAATGCTGCTGTTTTATGTAGTTGTCAAAAATGAATGTTTTTAAAAGCTTATCATTTTTTATTGCCAATATTAAGTGTTTTGTCTGTTAACTTATCGGCAGAACTGATAACAGCATATTTCCTGTACATAATGTTGCACTTGTTTTGGGGGATTTGCTATCAGCTCTCTGTGAACTAGGCCTCTGTAGAAGGGGATGTATTATTTTAGCTTCATGTTGAATATTAATGTCGTCTTCTTGGACACTGCCTATTGACAATTATTTCCGGTTACTATGACTTCATGGGAACCCATCATGGCTTTTCTCAAGCATATACATGACAAGCCTTCTCTTTAAGATGTTTTTGTCTACACATTTTATATTATAGCTGAGTGTTGGAGAAATATTTGAACTCAAAATAATGGATTTATGTGTCAGTTTGCATCTCGACTGCTCACCTCCTGTATTGTGGTTAATGCTGCTGCTTATAACATTGTGCTTATGACCATATTCTTGGTCATCTGCTGATTGTCAGAGCTACATAATATTTTGAGGATTATCTGATGTAATCATACATAATATGGCATATGTGAAGCAGATCATTTTTTTGTTGTTTTGCTGACATGTTCTTGACTGTGTTGCTGAATTTCATGTGCATTGCTGGCTCACATGTTTTCACCTGAGCTCATAGTTTATTCCCTGCAATGGTTGGAGATGCTTTGTTGGGGAATGACCACATAGCCATAGGAGGCATCGGCTCACAAATGATATGGTTCTAAATAATGGCTGGCTCTGGACTCTGTGTATATAACCTATAGTTTTCTTCTGTGCAAAGTTGGATGAAGGTTGTGGGGAGTGTTCAGGCTAGATACCAAATATCAGCTCTGTATTCACATAAATAAATCTATTTCACCTGAGCCAGCTGACTGAGCTGCACTTACATTCCTGCACCTCTTCACGCTTGCTCTTTTTCTCCCTTGTTACCTAATTATGCTTCCTAAAATATCCAGCTTTTGGATTTCATCTTTGCATCATTAGTTTCTCAGAGGTCTCCTGAGTGTGATTCAGCTGTAGGACTGAGGGGTGTGACCTCTCACCTGTCTGTCTAAACATATCATCTTAAAGTCTCCCAGTGGAGCATCTGCTGCTGAAGCCGGGTGTGCTACAGCATCATCTGAGATTTCATCATCAGAGTTCTTTCTCTCCACATCAAATAAATCTGAGGAAGCACATGAGGGCTGTGTGCATGTATTAGTACATGCATATGCGTGTCTGTTGTGTTGTGTTTTGTAAGTTAGTGAGTGCACCTGTGTAGTTGGTTTGCCCTCAGGGAAGATGTTTGGCAGGCATGTTAGGCATCTGGAGCGCAGCTCAGGGGAGCTGGACTACAGAGAGTTGAGAGTTGCTCATGAGTTGTGTCCTTTCGTAGTCTGGGAAGTCACTCATGTGAAATATGGGAGAGAGGGAATGTGTGTGTGTGTGTGTGTGTGTGTGTGTGTGTAGGTCACCAGAACAAGTGCTGAGACTTCAATAATAGGAGTGACGAGGCAGAACTTAAGTGTCTCACGACTTAATAATTAGATAAATGTATCTTATTGAAATCAGTGATTTGGTTTTTGTTGTTGAAATAATAAAAAAAAAAGATTTAATAATAAAACTCAGAAACAAAGTAGTCAATTGAAAGGATTTTTAGAAATGTATTACTTGTTTTAAATAATTTAATAAGTAAAACTGTTATTTGGCTCCAGTTTCTTCGGTTTGAATATTTTCATGTTTTCTCTTTTTCTTTTCTTTTTTCATCATTGTAAATTAAATCACTTTGAGTTTGGGACATATAGTCCCAAAGAGGTTTTAAGACATTCTGGTTTTTTAAACACTAAACAGTTAATTCAGAACAGTATGTTAAAGTAGTTAACAATCATTAGTTAACTAATTAATCTTAACTCAAGGTCCATTTACTACCAATTTGTGGAGCTCTCAACCCCATCTCCTGGTCTATATCCGTAGAGACTTCATGTAGTTTGGCCTTTTGACCTCGTAGTTTACACCTTGAGGAAACTCTGAGTACACCTTGGCAAACTAATTTTCCCAAGGTCAAAAAAAGAACGTTTATACCAAAAATAATATTTGCATCTTTCGTTATAATTTTGCAACAACTGAGGAATAGTGGTT